ATTTTCTATTTTTTTCTATTTTCTTTTTTCTAATTTCTTCTATTTTCTATTTTTTCTATTTTCTTTTTTTCTAAATTTCTTCTATTTTCTATTTTTCATTTCCTTTTTTTCTAGTTTTAATTTTCTTTTTCCAATTTTTTTCTATTTTTTCTTTTCCAATTTTCAATTTTCTTTTTTCCAATTTTCTTCTATTTTCTTTTTTTTTTTTTTTGGTTCTATTTTCTGTCCTTTTTTGCTCTTTTCTCTCTTCTCTCTGCTCCTCCCCTGCCCAACCGCCGCTTTTTTACCAAAAAGTCCATTTTTTCCCCCAGCCGGGGCCGCTGCGAGGAAAAAGGTCCCTTTCCCTGCCGGCTCCATCTTCACTCGTCGCTTTTGCTGCTTCTGCCCCAAAGTGGCTCCTCTCTGGCTCCTCTCCTGCCGTCCTGAGCCTGAAAATGCCGCCTTTCACCCCAAACCGGCCGCCCCCTGCGCTGCCCGGCCCCGACGGGCAAAACCCCTCTGGGAAGCTTGGGAAAAATTAGAATTTCAAGGAATCCGAATTTAGGAGCTGCTCTTTTAGCAGAAATCAGCGTCACGAGCGCCTTTTCTTTTTATCTTAAATTAAAGCAGCTTCAAAAGCTCCTTTTTGGTTAAACTGCCCCAGCTCGCTCCGGCTTTCGGAAAACATCCAGTAGGATATTTTAAGGCTTAAATAAAACAGCTGCAAGAGCTGCGTTTTTGCCCGGGAACCGGCCTTGAAGGCAGCGATTTCCCTAAAACCAGCTTTAAGAGCTTCCGTTTGAATAAAAAGCAGCTTTAGGAGCCGATTTTTGCGTTAAATCGGGAGGTTTTCCATTAATCGCTCCCATTAAAGCGCCCGTCGCTGGGATCGCGCCACAGAAAAGCGAAAGAAAGCAGCTTTAAGAGCCGACTTTTCTTTCAAGGGAACAGCTTTTGTCCCTTTTTTTCTTGAAATGCCGCAGATTTAGGAGCAGTTTTTATCAAATAAAGCGGCTTTAGGAGCCTTCTCTACGGACCGGCGCAGCTTTAAGAGCTTTTCGTCGGCAGTGAAGCCGTTTGCGGAGCTTTCTGTTTTAAATAAAGCCATTTTAGGAGGTTTTTTTGGTATAAAATCGAGCGGCTGCGAGCGCTGCGGGCTCGGGCCGCGGTTTTGGGCCGAATTCGGGCGCTTTCGGGGCAGTTTCCCGGCCGGGCGCTGCCGCCGCTTCCCTCCCTTATAACGGGCCCGGCCCCGCCCCCGGGGGGGGCCAAATAGTCCCGAAAATCGCCAAAAAAGGGCCGCGGCCCCCAAAACCCCCCGCCCCCCCCCGAAAACCCCTCCTTTCTCATTATTTGCCGTGTGGTTTTTGTTTTTTTGTTTCCCCCTTTTCTCGGATGTTTCCCCCGCACAACCGCCCCCCCCCCCCCCCCCCCCTCCTCTGCGGGGCCCTGCGGGGCCCGGCCCCGAACGGGTTAAATTTCCCTCATTTCCCTCATTTCGCTGCGGGTTTTCGCCGGATTCGGCCCGTTCTGCCCCAAACCCCCCCGCCCCCCCCGCCCCCTTCCCGGGCCGCCGCAGTTCGGAGCTTTTTGGCTCATTTGTTCCTTCCCTTGGCCGCTCTCTCGCTTTTGCTGCGTCACGGGGCTGGGCCGCCCGCGGGGCCTCGGGCCCAGAGGGGCTCGGAAAAACCTCTCAGGGGACACAGGCCCCAAACCCCCTTTGCCCACGTCTTTTGTATCCCAAGAGACCCCAAACCCCTTTGCCCACGTCTTTTGTATCCAAACCGACCCCAAACCCCCTTTGCCCACGTCTTTTGTACCCAAACTGACCCCAACCCCCTTTGCCCACGTCTTTTGTATCCAAACTGACCCCAACCCCCTTTGCCCACGTCTTTTGTATCCCAACAGAGCCCAAAACACCTTTTTTTTTTTTTTTTAACCTTTTTGCTGCACAGCCCAAACCACCATTTTTATTCCTTCTCTCCCGCTGAAATGCACCAAAATCGAGGCGATTCAGCCCATTTCGGGCCCCGCCGAGTCACGGGACTCCTCCTTTTCGAGCAGCTGAATGAAACCCCACTGTTTTAGGGCATTTCGGGGGGTTTTTGAGGCATTTTGTGGGATCTGAAGCCTTCTTTTCCACATTTGGGGGCGTTTCCAGGCAGGAAATGACACCCCAGAATTGCCGTCAGGGAGGGGACCCCCGTGCCCCCAAACCTGTAATTAATGCTAATTAACGCTGCTCTGGGGCTAATTAAAGCTGCTGACGAAGCCAAGGAGGCATTTTAGGGGTGGTGGGGGGAGGGTGTTCCAACGTTTCCGGGGCGTTTCCTGCAGGAGAAAATGTTTCCCCATTGCTGTTAATTATTATTATTATTGTTATTATTATTATTATTATTATTATTATTTCCCTGCGTTATTCTGCCATTAAACCCCCTCAGATTGATCGTCCCCCTCCCATTTCAGGCCCCCCCCCCAAAAAAAACCCTGAATTTTGGGGAGCTTTCCCTCGGTGCTGATTTTTGCAGCACTAATTTGCCCATTTATGGTTCTTTCGGCCCCATTCCCCCTCCCCCGCAGCTCTGTTTTATTTTACCCCTCTGACACACCCACAATTCACGGCCTTTGGCACGGAAATGCCCCAAAAAGCTGCTTTTTCAAAAAGCTGCTTTTTCACAGGAGCTGCGCCTGGAGGGGCCCCTGTGGGGCCTTTTCCTCTGGAAAGGTGTTTTTCAGTTTTTCACCAAAACCTGCGGGTTTATGATGGAAAAATACAAGAAAAGGCCAGGAGGTTTTTTTTTTTTAAGCGGGACAGCACTAAAAATACCATAAATGACCCCAAAAGAGCCTCAACAGCACTTTGAGGCCAATTTCAGCCATTCTGGGGGGACAAGGCATAGATTTTGCCCTCAAAAATCACCACTAAGCCCAAAAGCTGCAGTTTTTCAGCAGATTTTTTAACCCAAACCGCCCCCTTTTGAACCCAAAGTGGCCCGGGGCCCCTCTGCCTCCCTGAGCCGCCTTTCAGTGGGTTTTTGAGGCCAAATCCCTCCAACTCCCCCCCCTAAAACCAGCGTTTCCTTGCGGCTTTTCACCTTTTGGAAAACCGACCCTTTTTAGCGGCTTTTCAGACAAAAATCACCTCAGGAAAGGGGGGGGGGGGCGGGGTGGGACTTTATCCCTCTCCCAAGCTGGGGCCCCTCAACCTGCTGCTAAAGCGGCCCGAACCCCCTCCCCCCGTCGCTCCCCGCCCCCACCGCCTCGCCTTCCCCTCCCCCACCCCCATTTACAGGCAAAAAAAAAGGAATTCGGGGGCGGGAGCGGCCGCGGAAGGATCCGCGCGGAGGAGCGAGAGCTGTGCGATGCGGCCCCGGGAGCGGAGGGATCTGGGGGGTGAAGCGTCCCGTGGCCACGTGACCGGCGGAGGGATCCGCGCGCGGAGGGATCGGTGGTGAGGTCAGGCCCCGCCCCCCGCTCTGCCGCAGTCGCCGCGGGGGCGGCGCCGGGGGTGGGGGCGCGGCGCCATCGCTCCGACCCGCCCTGTCCCGCAGCGGGGGGGGCGGCGCCGAGTCACCCCCGGCGGGTCCCGAGGGGTTAAAAAACCAGCCCTTTCCCTCTTCATTTTTAACTCGGAAATGCCCGATTCGCCTCAGAAAACGCCCGATTCGCCTCAGAAATGTCATACGTGCCTCAGAAATGCCCGATTTGTCTTAGAAACGTCTCATTTTACTTCACGTCTCTTTTCCCTCAGAAATGCCCCGATTCGTCTCAAAAATGCTTGGTTTGCCTCAGAAAGTGTTCGGTTTCCCTCAGAAAAGTGCGGTTTCCCTCACAAAAGCCTTAATTTCTTAGCTCAGAAGCGCCTCGTTTCCCTCAGAAAACGCCCTTTTATTCAGCCGTGACCCGCTCTCCCCCCCCCCAAAATGGCGCCTGCCGGGGGAGGGGGGGGCGCGTCCTTCCCGATCCCCCTCAGGAAACCCTTTCTCAAAATATTTATTCAAAAATATTTCTTTGTACCATCAAATATTTATATTTTCCTTCCTTTTTTTTTTTTTTTTTGTTTGTAAACGCTGGATTTCAGAGCAATTTCCCGGCGTCCTTTAAAGCCGGTAACACCGACCCCTCCCACAGCACAAAACTCTCCCAAACCACCGGTTCTGCCTTTAAAAAGCCTTAAATTTCGACAAAAAATGACTTAAAAAAGGAAGTTATTTGGGGCTGAGGCACTTTCGCTGCAGAGTGTGGGCGCGTGGGGGTTATGGATAAAACACTGTGATAAATGGGTTAAACTCAGCCCCAGCCGGCAGAGAAAAGGCTGAAAATGGGGTTAAAGAGTGAAAAAGGGGGATTTGGGGCCTCTAAAGGCCCTGAATGGACAGCGAGTGATGCCCCGAAATGGGCAGGATTTGCCTCAAAATCATTTTCCCCCAAGGGCTCGTTAGTACTAATGAGGGACCCCCCAAACCCAGGGCCCCCCTGACGCGTGTGAGGTGTGTGACATGTGTGTGACATGTGTGACATGTGTGTGACATGTGTGTGACATGTGTGTGACATGTGTATGACGTGTGTGACACGACACGCGTGTCCGTGTGTCCCCGGCCCTGAAATGGCCGCGGTCACGTGGGGCGGCCATTTGGCTGCGTCAGCCCGAACTCCCTGGAATTGGCCCCAAACTGTCGTGGTGTGTCCCAAACCCCCCGGAATTGGCCCCAAACTGTCCGTGGTGTGTCCCAAACCCCCGGGATTTGGCCCCAAACTGTCCGTGGTGTGTCCCAAACCCCCTGGATTTGGCCCCAAACTGTCCGTGGTGTGTCCCGAGCCCCCCGGAACTGGCCCCAGACCCCCCCCCCGGAATCGGCTCAAGAATGCCCTGAATTAGCCAAAATCTGCTCCAAATGTCCCAAACTGGCTCAAACTTGCCATGAACTGGCCCCAAACACCCCGAATTAGTTCCAAACCACTGTGAAAGAGCCCTGACCTGCCCCAAATCACCCTGAATTAGCCCCAAATCTGCCCCAAACTGCCCTGAATTGCCCCCAAACCGTGGCTGGGGGGGGTGTTGGTGCAGTTTATTGTGGGGGGTGGGTACAAAGGGGGGGGGCTCAGGGGACTCCCAGTCTGTGCTGGGAGGGGTTTTGGGGGCCCTGGGGGGGCTCAGCCCTGCTCGGGCCCAGCCCCCTCTGCCCCCCGGGCCCCCCCCACCACGGGGCTGTAGGAGCTGCCCCCCACCCGGCTGAAGAAGGACCCCGAGCGCCGGGGGGGCTTCACCCGCCGCAGCTCCTGCCCTGGGGGGAGAGAGGGGGGGTCAGTCCCCTGGGCCCCCCCGTGTCCCAGACCCCAAATCCCCCCCCGACCCTGGAGCCCCCCCTCGTGTGTGTGTGTCACCCCCCCATTCCCCCTGACCCCCCCATGTCTCCCCCCAGACCCAACGTGTGTGTGTCACCCCCCCATATTCCCCCTGACCCCCCCATGTCCCCCCCCAGACCCAACGTGTGTGTGTCACCCCCCCATTCCCCCTGACCCCCCCATGTCCTCCCCCAGACCCAACGTGTGTGTGTCACCCCCCCATTCCCCCTGACCCCCCCATGTCCTCCCCCAGACCCAACGTGTCCCCTCCCTCCCAGTGCCGGGGTCCCCCCATGGGTGCATCTCCCACCCCATTTTCCCCCATATTCCCCTTGACCCCCCCATATCCCCCCCCGTCCCCAAGTCTCCCCCTGTCCCCCCCTCCATGTCCCCCCTCTGGCCCCGCCCCATTGGCCCCGCCCCCGTTCCTTTGGCCCCGCCCACCGTCCTGCACGTAGTCGATGGTCGCGAGGCGCTGGAGGCGGGGCCTGGTCACGCTCTCCTGCCGCCGCAAGGGGGCGCCTCGAGCGCCGGGCTGGGCCGGGGGCGGGGCCTGTCCCTCGGAGGGCGGGGCCTGTCCTTCGGAGGGCGGGGCCTCGGCGGCGGCGGGCGCGGCCCCGCCCAGCTCGATGCAGCACTCGATGAGGGCGCTCATGAGCTCCGCCTGGGGGCGCTGTCAGCGCGCGGGGCCACGCCCCCGGCCACGCCCCCAAAGGGACCCCCCCAAACTTACCCCAACCCCCCCAAACCCGACCCCAACCCCCCCAAATTTACCCCAACCCCCCCAAAACTGACTCCAAACCCCCCAAACTGACCCAACCCCCCAACTGACCCACAACCCCCCCAAAACGGACCCACCCCCCCCAAACTGACCCCAACCCCCCCCCAAACTGACCCCAACCCCCCAACAAAACCGACCCCACCCCCCCCAAACTAACTGCCCAACCCCCCCAAAAAACCGACCCCAACCCCCCAAACCTGATCCACCACCCCCAAACTGACCCCACCTTCTCCCACAAACTGACCCCAACCCCCCCAAACTGAATCCCACCAACTGAATCCCACCCTGATCCCGCCCCCCCAAAAATCGACCCCAACACCCCCCAAACTACCCGCAACCACCCCAACCCCCCCAAACCCGACCCCAACCCCCCCAAACCGATCCCCAAACTGACTGCAAACACTCACAAACTGACCCTCCGGGGACCTCCTGGGGACCCCCAAACCGCCCCCACAGGACGCTGCCCCCAGAGCCCCCCAACTGCCTCCCCCGCGCCCCCCAGGACCTCCCCAGACCTGCACCCGCCCCACAAGTGCCCCCCGCCCGCCCCCTGCACTCCTTGGTGCCCCCCGGCCCCCCCATCCCGGGGGTCCCACCTGTGGGGAGAAGACCCTCAGCAGGCGGTTCACGGGGGCTCCCTCGTGGTCCCCGTCGAACTCGAGCCAGAGCTGGGGGGGCTCCGCGGGGTCCCCGTCCTGCCCCGGGGGGGGGTCCCCGTCCTGCCCCACGGCCCCCACCAGCTCCCAGCACAGCTCGGGGTACGTCAGGGCCAGCAGCACGTGCTGGGAGGGGACATCGTTCCATGGTGGCCCCCCAGTCCCACCGGGTGCCCCCCAGCCCCACAATGTCCCCCCCCAGCCCCACAATGTCCCCCCCCAGCCCCACAATGTCCCCCCCAGCCCCACAGTGTCCCCCCCCAGCCCCACAGTGTCCCCCCCAGCCCCACAGTGTCCCCCCAGCCCCACAGTGTCCCCTCAGCCCCACAGTGTCCCCCCAGTCCCACCGTGTGCCCCCAGTCCCACTGTGTCCCCCCCAGCCCCACAGTGTCCCCCCCCAGCCCCACAATGTCCCCCCAGTCCCACACTGTTCCCCCCAAACCCACAGAGTCCCCTCTGCCCCACAGTGTCCCCCCTCCCCATGATGCCCCCAAGCCACCCCCATGCTGCCCCCAGCCCCCCACGGGCCCGATCCCACCCCCAGCCCCCCCGGCCCCCCACCTTCTGGCGGGGGTCGATGATGGTGACCCCCTCGAGCCCCACGGCCACGCTGACGGGGCGCAGCCCCCCCCGGCCCAGCAGCCCCCCCGAGGGGCGTTCGATGGCCCCGGGGAAGAAGGCACACCTGGGGGGGTGAGACACACACCGGGGTCACCCCAAAACCACGGGGTCACCCCAGAACACCTGGGGGGGTGAGACACACACCGGGGTCACCCCAAAACCACGGGGTCACCCCAGAACACCTGGAGGGGTGAGACACACACCGGGGTCACCCCAAAACCACGGGGTCACCCCAGAACGCCTGAGGGGACACACATCGAGGTCACCCCAAAATCACGGGGTCACCCCAGAACGCCTGGGGGGACACACATCGAGGTCACCCCAAAACACCGGGATACCCCCCCAACACCTGGGGACACACACACCCCCCTGGGTCACCCCCAGCCCCCCCGATCCCCCCCGATTCCCGGGTCCCAGCTGCAGGGGGTGGTGACCTGGGGGCCCAGACGCGGGGGGTGTCCCCGGGGCTCTGTTTGGGGTCTATTTGGGGTCCGTTTTGGGGTCTCTTTCGGGCCCCTCACCCGTATCCGGGCAGGGCGTGGCAGCGCCGCAGGAAGTCCCGGTACAGCCCAGCAGGGGGCGCCTCCGGGCCCGGCGCGCGCGCGAAGGCGTCGAGGAGCCGCTGGGCGGGGCCCGGGGAGCGCGAGCGCCGGAACAGCGCCCCCCAGCGGGCCGGAGGACCCGGCGGCAGCAGCTCCGTCAGCAGCGGCCTGGGGGGGTCAAGGGGGGGATAACGGGGGGTCAGGGGGGCAAAGGGGGGGTCACGGGGGTCAGGAGAGCATGGGGGGGTCAAGGGGGGGATAACGGGGAGTCGGGGGGGCAAAGGGGGGGTCGGGGGTGGATAACGGGGGGTCAGGGGGCAAAGGGGGGGTCAGGGGGGTCAGGAGAGCATGGGGGGGTCAAGGGGGGGATAACGGGGGGGCAGAGGGGACAGGGGAGCGTGGGGGGTCAGGGGGGACACGGGGGTGTCAGGAGGTCGTGGGCGTGGGTCTCAGGTTGGGGGGTCCCAAAGGGGTCCTGTGGGTGGTCCCAGGGGGGTGTCTCGGGGCGGGGAGGGGGCTCAGGGAGGGGTCCTGGGTGTGGCCCCAGGTGGGATCTCGGGGGAGGCCCAAGGGTGGTCGCGGGAGGAATCTCAGAGGGTCCCTGGGGGTGTCCCTGGGGGTGTCCTGTGGGGAGGGTCCTGGACTGGGGGGGTCCCACGGTCGGGGAGGTTCCGGGGGGGTTCTGGGCTGGGGGTCTCGGCTCACCGCAGGCTGAGCTCCGTGTGCTGCTCGGGCTCGAAGGGTCCCAGGCGGAGGCGGCAGCTCAAGGGTCCCAGGCGGAGGCGGCAGCTCAGCCCCCCCAGCTCGGCTGCCTCGGGGGGGTCCACGGGGTAACGACCCCCCTGCAGCTGCTCCCGGGCCTCCTCGTAGAGCAGCCGCAGCAGCTCCTCCTCCTGCAGCTGGGACCCCCCGAGAGACCCCCCGAGACCCCCCGTGTCACCCCAGAGACCCCCCGAGACCCCCCGTGTCACCCTAGAGACCCCCCGTGTCACCCCAGAGACCCCCAGAGACCCCCCGTGTCACCCCAGAGACCCCCCGCGTCACCCCAGAGACCCCCAGAGACCCCCCGAGAGACCCCCAAAGACCCCCCGTGTCACCCCAGAGACCCCCCACATCCACCCCCAGAGCCTCAGGTGCCACCCCGTCCCTCACCCACCCCCCCCCGGGTCCCCCACGTATTCCCCCCCAACCCCGCACTTGGGGGTCCCCCCCAGCCCCCCCCTCACCTCCAGCTCGCGGCTCTTGGGGAAGAAAACGTTCCTGCGCAGCTGCAAACATGGCTCGTCTGGGGGGGGACGGGGGTCAGCGGGGGCTGGGGACCCCCCCACCCCCGAGGGACCCCCCCATCCTGAGGGACCCCCCACCCCCGAGGGACCCCCCACCCCCGAGGGAATCCCCCATCCCGAGGGACCCCCCCATCCCGAGGGACCCCCCCAGCCCTAGGGACCCCCCCACCCCCCAGGGAATCCCCCACCCCCGAGGGGTCCCCCTCCCCCGAGGGTCCCCCCCCCCTCGAGGGACCCCCCCCACCCCCGAGGGAATCCCCCATCCCGAGGGACCCCCAGCCCCGGCCCCCTCCCCGCGGGCGATGACCAGGGGCAATCCCGGGCTGAAGGAGGGTGAGAGGGGCCGGGGGAACCCCCAAGGGACCCCCCCCCAAGGGCCCCCCCGCCCCTCACCCTGCGCGATGGCCGCGGGGGAGCCGAGGGACCCCCCCCCCCCAAGGGGCCCCCCCCGCCCCTCACCCTGCGCGATGGCCGCGGGGGAGCCGAGGCTGAAGCGCAGCAGCAGCTCCGGCCAGTGCCGGACCAGGCGCAGGGGGCGGTGCCGCGGCTTCAGCTGCACCTCTGGGGGGGACACGGGGCTGGAACCCTCCGGGGGCACCCCCGAGGGCACCCCCGAGGGCACAGGGACCCGGTGACCGGCGGGGACCCCCATGGGAACCCCCACGGGGACCCCCACGGACCCACCCACGGGGACTCCCCCCATGGAGACTCACGGGGACCCCCACGGGGACCCCCACGGGGACCCCCACGGACCCACCTGGCCATGGGGACACCCACCAGGACACCCCTCCCACGGGGGCCCACTCAGCCCCCCCTCCGGACCCAGGCCCAGGAGTGGACCCCCAGATCCCCCCCCGTGTTCGTGTCCCCTCCGTGTGAGCCCCCCCGTGTCCAAGTCACCCCTGTAACCCTCCTGTCCCCTCACGGCCGTGCCCCCCACCCTGTGACCCGCCCCCCCATGGCCAGGTTCCTCCCCCGTGTCCCCCCCCGGGTCCGTGTCCCCCCGGGGCAGCTCCGACCCCAACCCCGGCGCGAGCTGACCCCCCTCGTCCCCAGGACGCCCCCGTCCCACCCTGACCCCCCCTCACCGAGCAGGTCCGACCCCAACCACAGCGCCAGGGCCTCCCCCGCGCTCGGGGGGAGCCGCAGAGCCCCCTGCAAGCGGCGCAGCAGCTCCGCGGCCGTGGGGCCCGGGGGGGGCTCGAGGGGCAGCGGCAGCGCCGACCCGTCCGGGAGGTACACCAGGGCTGGGGGGGACAGCGGGGGTGAGAGACCCCCCAAAACACCCAGAGACCCCCCCACACCCCCCCAGCGCCGACCCGTCCGGGAGGTACACCAGGGCTGGGGGGGACAGCGGGGGTGAGAGACCCCCCAAAACACCCAGAGACCCCCACCCACACCCCCCCATCGCCGACCCGTCCGGGAGGTACACCAGGGCTGTTTGGGACAGCGGGGGTGAGAGACCCCAAAAACACCAGGGACCCACCCACAACCCCCCCCAGCTGGCCGACCTTGCCGGGGGTACACCAGGGCCCTTGGGGAAACAGGGTGAGAGCCCCCCCAAAACACCCAGAGACCCCCCCACACCCCCCCAGCGCCGACCCGTCCGGGAGGTACACCAGGGCTGGGGGGGACAGCGGGGGGCGAGAGACCCCCAAAACCACTCAGGGACCCCCCAGGGACACCCCCCACCCCCCCCAAGACACAGCGCCGACCCGTCCGGGAGGTCCCGCGGGCGGGGGAGAAGGGGGTGTGAGACCACCCGCGTCCACCCAGAGACCCCCAGAGACCCCCGAACCTCCCGTGGGACCCCCACCCCCACCCCCGGACGGACCGACCCCCAGGGAACCCCCCCGGGGACCCCCCGGAACGACCCAAAGGGCCCCTCGGGGGTCTCACGGCCCCCAAACCACCCCCGCCCCCCCCAGCCGGGGGTCTCCGGCCCCGCCCATCCCTCATGGCCCCGCCCCCTCCCCTTACCCCCGCCCCTCCTCCCGCGGCCCCGCCCCCTCACCGGCGGCTCCCGGCGCGGCGGACGCGCCCTCCCCCTCCCCCTCCCCGTCCATGGCGGGGTCAGGGGGGGTCCCGGGGGGGTCACCGCGGGGGTCACCGGGGGGTCGCGGCTCCGCGCGCTCCCCGGGCCGGTCCCGCGCGGGGCGGAAGCGCCGCCGGTGGGCGGAGGGGCGGGGCCTCAGCGGTGACGTCACGGGAGGAGGCGAGATCAAAGGATGGGGCGGTGGCGCCCCCTGGCGGCTGGGAGGGCCAGAGGGGTCCCGGGGGGGTTCGGGGGTCCCGGGGGGCGTTCCGGGGTCCCAGGAGGGTCCCGAGGGGGTTCGGGGGGTCCCGGCGGCGGCGCAGGAAGAGGCGGAGCCGCTGTACGAAGTATAGAACCGTGTATTCCTCTGTGCGCGGCGGGGGCAACCCCCGGGGAGGGCTCGAAGGGATTCGGAGGGGGGGGGGCGTTTGGGGGGGCCCCGGGGGGGGGCCCGACCCCAATCGGGG